TTCATCATTTCCATTATATAAATACTTGAATTAATTATATATTTAGTACAGACATATCTACATATGTATTTTCTTGATTTGTGCCGCTTTCTGCTACGCCAAAATCATTGCCAATATTGTATTCTAATGAAAATGCCGATACGTTTTTTTTTACCTAATCGTTTACCTTTTTTGTTCGTCGGTACTTTTAAAGATGAGAGATTTGTGTTGTTTAAGGTGTCTCTCATTTCACAGTTTCGATTTCAACCGCGCTGAAAATTCTACATATTTCTATGTCAATTTTTATGTACTTGCCCGCAAATGTTTTGCACACATCAGATTACAAACAACCGCAGAGCCCCTATTTGGTAATAGAGACTTTTATTTTGGTGCGAAGCATTGACAGCAGGCATTCGATTATGCGAAAAAAGTAGGTAAAACATCTTTAAAGGTGAAACTTCTGTTTGGAATTATAAACTTATTTAGTTACAAATGGTGTCATTGTCTTTGAATGACCTTCCTTGCAAATAATTTATTGCGAGTAGCTGAGGTATGTATGCGCTGAGAAGCAGAAAATGTTAACGAACATAACTAGCAGGATCTTGGCGTGGTTCACCTTCCGCCGTCAATTTCTAGCCTAATCATCACCTGGTGAAAAGTTTGACAATGAAAAAAAAATGTTTTTACTTGCCTCACTGGCTTAGTCTCATTCTTTTAAAAAGCTTAGGATCAAAATGTTACTCAAGTAAATTGATCCTTCATGCAATAGATCCAGATTGAAAGCCGATCCTTCATTGGAGAGTCGTAGTTTCTTTTGAGTACAATTTATGACATCATCATGTATTCTCCACCGCTGTACTTGGCATTGAAATTGAACAATAACTACATACATTTCATTTTTTTCGTTGGAATCATTGTTTATTATTTACTTATTTATTGCTAATGCTCATTCTCCACACGCTCATATTTATGTGTAGAATGGAATTTTCGCGGTTGTTTTATTTTTATGTTGATATGTTAATGAAAAGTGTTTACAGGTGTTTTATGTATTTCTACATGCAACATTGAATGTTGCAAATTGTTTATTTACGATGCTTTCACCGAAAACAGAAAAAACGAAAAACGCTTATGATTGATAGCGGTTTTCGAGACTATCGAATAATTTGCTTTTAGATTGCGATTTTAAATACTTATCTTTTAAGAAGATTTAAAATGGTTATTAAAAATTTTTACATACATAACATCTTATTTGAATATTACTCGCACATTGCTATGTCCATACTGATGTTTTGTGTGTGTTTTCTAGAGTAGCACCCCAAATTTGATTTGAATTGCAAAGCAATTTGTACGTTCTCATGCATATTTAAATTCTTGATAATACATAGTACGCAAGTTGCAAATTAATTGGCAAAACAATCAACTATTTTTGGACTTTGCTAATTGAAACAAATGATGCCAGGCAGCTCTTCTCTTGAACTCCATAAAACTGAAATCTAAAACATATCTATATATATAAAATTAAGTGGCAAAACTTCCTGTTCGCATACTCCTCCTAGACGGCTTGCCCGATTTCAATGAAATTTTCAGGGGTGATTGGGGTCTGTGTGGAGGGTGCACATAANGGGTGTAATAACCGAGTGTTCTGGAGATCAATTGTTCACATGAGCATGTGTTGAAGGCCGATCCCCCATTGGAGAGTCGTAGTTTCTTTTGAGTTCAATTTATGACATCATAATGTATTCTCCACCGCTGTACTTGGCATTGAAATTGAACAATAACTACATTTCCTTTTTTTTCGTTGGAATCATTGTTTATTTTTTACTTATTTATTGCTAATGCTCATCCTCCACACGCTCATATTTATGTGTACAATGGAATTTTCGCGGTTGTTTTATTTTTATGTTGATATGTTAATGAAAAGTGTTTACAGGTGTTTTATGTATTTCCACATGCAACATTGAATGTTGAAAATTGTTTATTTACGATGCTTTCACCGAAAACAAAAAAACGAAAAACGTTTTCGAGACTATCGAATAATTTGCTTTTAGATTGCGTTTTTAAAAACCTTTTAAGAAGATTTAAAATGGTTATTAAAATTTTTTTACATATATAACATCTTATTTGAATATTACGCGCACATTCCTAAGTCCATACTGCACCCCAAATTCGATTTGAATTGCAAAGCAATTTGTGCGTTCTTCATGCATATTTAAATTCCTACATCTTTGTACATAATACATAGTACGCAAGTTGCAAATTAATTGGCAAAACAATCAACTATTTTTGGACTTTGCTAATTGAAGCAAATGATGCCAGGCAGCTCTTCTCTTGAGCTCCATAAAACTGAAATCTAAAACATATGTTTGTATACATTGTACAACAACTTTTACTACTACTTCTCTTGTATGTATGTATGTGCACATTTCAATTTCATTTCTATTTGTTGCGCTGCGTCAAATCCGGTCTCTAGTCCATTCGCTAGCCGGGAAGCCGGCTACATGTGGTGTCTGCGCGCACTCGTGCCAAATAAAACAACAAAAGGGGAGCATCGCACAAATCCATATGCACATTTTTATGTGTGGATATCTTGGAATAATTCCTAACATTGTTACGATGTTGCCGACGTTTGTTTACTTAGTACATACTCTCAGACATTGTACGGACATAAAAATGTTGCAGAAGTCTTCTTTCTTGCAGCTGTTTATTTTTTATGGAAAATGAAATGAGTTATAGTTACATAGCTAAAATTGAAATAAATCATTGGAAATCTATTCGTTCATAGTTCACATATAGTCATGTCTCTTCTGCAACAAGACACCCCTTTTGTATTGATTACGTATCTAAGTATGTATATATGTATGTATGAATGTTGGTCATTCAACCCGATTTTTTTTAAAGTAGAATGAATTTGTTTTGGCTGAATCTAAAACGCTGGTTATTTTCTTTATTCAATTACTTTTTCAAATTACTCCACCAACATCTAGACTTTACACCGATCGGAGTATATTTATTCCTATTCATATAAAAAAATTACCTTTATCCCGTTACCTACAGTCCAATATTGGTGGTTTTCGGACCAGGACAGTATTTTTTCTTCATTGTTATGGTCAAAAGTCCGCGGGAAAATATTCCAGTTGGTTAAGCCGTCGGGTGCTTAGTTGCTCTGGAAATATTTCTGCACCAACAAGAATATTTCGAAAAAAATGTCCCTTACGTTTTCTTGCGCGGTTAGGGCTTGATATCATTCTGTTGCATGATTCGCAGATATTTTAAGTAATTGTCTATTTCACAAAACTCAGTTGAAATTTCAAGATAGGTTTTTCAAAGCTTTTCCTAGTTAAAGGTATAACACATACTCCGATTTTTCGAGTACATAATTAACTCCTAAATCAGGCTGCTGTAGTCCGAACCCTGCACTCCACACCCCAACCATCTATTGAAATGCCATCACCAATTTTGCATACATGCAGTCAAACATAAATATTTATGTATATTTAGATATCAATTTAGCTACCGTTGTTAAATAACAACACGTCCAATTTCATTTAAGTTGCATTTGCCCCATATCATGGTAAACATACATACATACATAAATACACCAGTTATCCAAACAAGTTGCGTATTGATTGCTTATGGACTTCCAAAGTTGGTGCTATTGATTTGTTAGTGGTATTCCGGTCAGGCTACTTTTATTTTTAGTGGGTATTAAGTAATATGTGGATTGATTTAAATTATGAAAATATCGCTGGTTGGCCTGTAATACTACCCGTTCGAGAGGATCGAGGGCAAGAGATTCCGAGGATGCAATTGTAACAATTGTTTCACTGAGCTTATCAAGCTCTAAAGTTGCTCGTCAACACACTTATATTAAAGTCAACTCTGGAAGTATTTTTCCTATATAAATTTTGAAAGGAATTGACCTTGTTTGGCGCTGTAGCCGCCTAAGCGATCTAGGCCGAGCTCAACAAAGCACACCACGTAGAGCCAAGCCCTTTTCCACTTGGTCTTTCCAATACAGGGAAAGCATCCCCCTTCCTCCGCGGTTCCGAGCTGAATACTTTCAGGACCCCACTTTTTAAATTTTTGAAAATGACTATTCTCGCCACTCGTCCAAACTTTGTTGAATCAATCAGCCTCATTGCGTAAGTCGTAAATTAGGCAAAATTGTACGACTCGACAACATTGGCGTTGTTTACTGTCGTGCTGAGATAAGTAAACGACGAAAATCGTCGAAAATTTTACAGTGCTGCCAAGTTTTCGTAATGAGGCTGAATGTGTTTTTTTATTATTCGGAAGTAGCCTTATGGCCTTATTCATAAAAAATAAAGTAGGTTTAAAGAGCTTTATAAATTGACGTTTTCATACATTTTTCAATTTATAAACCTTTTATAAAGCTACTTTATTTTTTATGAATAAGGCCATTAGTGTGGATCTTATTTTGCTTTTGTGTTTATAAAATCGACAGAAAATTGATCTGTCCACTCAGTCTTTGAAAATTTTCACCTATTTTATCATATTTTTACATGAATTCTCCAAAAGTAAAGTTTGCCCGATTATTCGTTGGAACCACTGAATGTATGTATGTAAATATTATAAATATGAACTAGTTAAATATTTTACACCATTTACCTGAGAAAGATAAAATATATATGTACACACAAAGGCTTTGAACGACCAACTACTTATGTATGTAGGTACGTACGGGATTTAAAAATCTTAATAACGAGGATTTACACGTCACATACCGGCACAATTTTCTTTTACAATTTCCTGCCCAGCTGACTGCCAGATACCAGATTGCGTACACAAATTATCTAAAAAGGTGACAGTGTAGCTGCAGCTGCGCCACTGCTGATGTGTGCGTTTCCTTGTCCAGCGGCCATTTACGTTGATAATCTGCGAAAAACGCGATTTTTTTAATGGCAATAGAAACACTTTTTTTTAAGGTTTTCACTTTTCTCCATGTTTTTTGCGTGTTTTGAAGAATTTTAAAAAAATTTTCTTTATTTTTCAACATATTTTGCAGGTAAAAAGAGGCAGATTGAGCCTGCCAACAAAATTTTCCTGGCTACTAAATAAAAAAAGGAGCCAGCAGAAAGGCATAGGAAAACCAAAGGAGGCTCAACTTAAAAAAGAAAAAAAAACAACTCGTTATCACAACAACAGCAACACCAATAGCCAACCTTCCAACAAAATGAGTAAAAAACCTACAGTCGGACCCGCGCTCCACAAAGTGATAATGGTGGGCAGCGGCGGTGTTGGCAAATCAGCATTAACACTACAATTCATGTACGACGAATTCGTGGAAGATTACGAACCAACCAAAGCAGATAGTTATAGAAAAAAGGTTCGAAAGAAAAGCTAAAAAATTTAATTTGAAATTAAATGCTCAAATTTGCATACCCAATGATTTGTTTCCGCATAAAAAAAAAAAAAAAAACTTTGTACTTTTCAGGTCGTTTTAGATGGCGAAGAAGTACAAATAGATATATTGGATACTGCCGGACAGGAGGATTACGCTGCCATCAGAGATAATTATTTTCGCAGTGGTGAGGGTTTCCTCTGTGTCTTCTCAATCACAGACGACGAAAGCTTCCAAGCAACACAAGAATTCAGGTGAGTACATACATACATACATATGTAGCTAAATAAATGGACTCCTATTAAAATATGTAAGCAGATTTGCCGGCATTAATAGTTAGTGTGACCAGGCTATCCTCTTTGAAGTAAGATTTAGCATTTAATTTTATGCCATACTTAGTCCTGGAACTTTAGGTCTAATTTCGTGGTTTTTACTGACCTTTTTTAATTACGAAATTCATAACAAAATTCGGGCCGGAATTAATAAAAATAAGTAGTTGTCATACTGAAAATCTTTAATAATTCAAAACCTATCGTCTACCGTTCAAAAATTACAATGGCAGAGCAAAGTGACATTTCTTTGAGAAAATAATTTCTTTACTCTTTGTAGGTCTATAAAAAATAGTACAAAGAAAATTGCTTTAAGCTATCAGTGTAGAAAATAATAATCCGTTTCGCCAAACTTGTCGAGTTGCTAAAGAGTTTTTAAGTTATGATTATATTCACTTATTTTAACTTAATTTTTCATAGGATATAACTTTTTCTTACCTTTTTTCAAAACCAGTTTAGCTTCGGTTTTCGTGAACATCTGGCCACACTGTTAATACTAGTTTTGTATTCTTAAATCCCAATCAACTTTCGGCCACTAGCATCTGTGGATATGTGCATACAATTCGCCATTAGCTATCAGCTATCGGCTTTCATTTAGCATTGTGCTATTATTTGTTGGCCAAATTGCATTCGGCGAATTAGTGAAATGTGTTGGGGAGAATGTCATTTTATTGTTGTTATTATTATTTCAGCTTTAGTGTTTTTTCTGTGACGTTTTTGTTGTTAAAATAGCTGTAATTTTGACTTTATGATTTGCGGTGCATGTCGGCGGTTACTTTCAGAATCATTAAATTTTCTATACATACAATAATTTTTTCTTAACGATTTCTTATTGGTTTTCGTGCGAAATCACCTTTTTTTAACTTTGGTTAAGAATTTGGTTAGCTTCATATGTAGGTCAGGAGAAATTAGCTTGGAAATTTATGCAAAGTCTACAATTTTTAAGTGTTATTATATATGTACATATAAACGATGAAAATACTATGTTTATTAAGTTAGTGCAAGCGTTGAAACAAGTGGCAATTTTTTGAGGTCAAAATTAATTATCCGAAATTTTTGGTATTAGTTTTTTATGCAATTTAACGGGTTTTACTTAAATGACTTAACAAATGGCGCTAAATTTTTACTGCTCCGAAACATACGAAATAATTTTAATTCTACTCAAAGAAAATTTTTGGACATATTTAGAAACGAAACATCGTACAGAAATTTTCAAGTTTCTCTATTTGGGAGAGAATTTTTTTCTTAATGCATAGACAGACGGTAACCGTATATCCGGATTACCGGCACAGTTGATCTGCTCAAAATTGTGGCCGGACATACAGCAGTCATATAAATAAAATAAAATAAAATAAAATAAAATAAAAAATGACAATAGAATTAAATGAAATAAAGTAAAATAAAAATAGGTTTTGGTGGGTTTTTGGTTCCCATATGAGGGCTGTGCGGATTAGTTTGACTCTGTCAAAGTTCAACTTTCTGTAATAGCAAAGAATCGCTCCGCCTCTTCCTGAAAACGAATTGCAACTGAAATCTTATTTTCTGCCAGGCGTTAGCAAAATTTTATACATTTTAAATTCTCTCTTGTAGGACGATCCTTGGGAATCTGCTTATTTTGATATTTCTTATCGGAAAGAAGTCTGTATTGTTTAGCTCGTTGGAGAGTTCTTAAAACACATCAATTAGTCCTCTAGTAGTCTTGATATGCTAATATCTTATTCAAAATTGCGAATCGGTTATCGAAAAAAATGCGTAAAATTTTTGAACAAATTAAATTTTTTTTTTCTTATATTCATTTTATTACAACCACTATTTTTTCTGATCTTGTTATGGTGGAACACAATACCTTTTCTGTTGATCCATTATGGTAAGTTCTTTTCATCGATTGCTGTAAATGGTGAATTGCTGACTTTAGAGTTCAGAATCAAATGTTTGACCAATCCCAGAAATGCAGCTAGATGCTCTAGGAGTTGGGCCTCGATTTTTTTTCTTTTGCAGTGATTGTTCGACTAGAGTAGGCACATCTTTAACAATGAAATTTGTAGAACGAAATCGGTCGAAAAATCCTGGGTGGGATGAATAATTCTTTACTTAATTGATCATATTTTACTCTATTCATGAATGATTTTTAAAATATTTGGCCTTAATGACGTTTTTTTTTTATCCTCGATGTACCACCAATCTGCTATTGGCCTCATTATTTACTCCAGTGAGTCCATTTATTCTTAACGATTCCAAAAAGGCACCACACCTTTAAAACCGTAAAACTGCTATGAAGCATATAAAGCGGCAGCAGCAGCAAAAGGCCAAAGTCAGTGACAGGACGAAAAGCCTTGTAGGCAGGCAGATTGACGGCTTCGACCTTAATGGCAACATGTCACGTAAACAACACGTCGAATGTTTGCATAACTTCCGCATATGAAAAGGCATACATAACACCGTTTTACATACGTCTGAAGCGCATTCCTTATTGATTCACAATACTGCGGCGTCAACTTGACGCGCCCTTCAGTCAAAGTTAACAAACTCTGTGAAAAACATACATACATATATCTAAACGCTTAGTACTGGGCGGCAGGTGCGTCACTTACATATATGCATACGCAATAAAGCACGTTTACATGTTTGGTGGTGTTTTGTATGTGGTTTACTCTTCAATTAGACATGTTTCTCCACCTGCCACAAAGTGTGGGTGGTGGTGTGTAAACGGACATGTCACGTAAGTTTATTCCTTACAACCAGGAAAGGTTGCCACAGAAACGACTTGCTAATTTCGAAAATATGGCAACAGGTACATAACTTCAAGCGACACATATGTAAGAGTACATGCATACGTAAGTGATCGCTACTTATGAGAAAGCATTGCATACATATGTATGTACAGTCACTCACAGAAGTATTCGTAAATTAGGTTTTTCACAATATTCAAAATGTTTTCCATCATAAATCTTTTTCGTTAATTTTCGTTTAAAATATAGCTCATTTTATAACAAAAAACATGTAAGTCATTCTTGCAAACTTTGTTTAAAATTAATAAAAATGAATCAAACTTAAAAAAAATTTTCATCAAAATTTCAAACTTTTTGTTCAGAATTTTTAGAAAAATTTTCGGTACGCAGTTTGTTATAGAAATAGATTTTGTTCATGCCTTATATGGAAACAAATGCGCAACACCCTCGACAAAAAAAAATTCTAAAAAATCAGCGGTAATTTTTAGCTACTGCAAACTTGCACTTTAGTATACTAAAATTGAACAGGTAACGAAACTGCTTACCGAATTCTGAATGAAAAGTTTGAATTTTGATAAATTTTTTTTCAAGTTTGATTAATTTTTATAAATTTTGTTCAAAGTTTGCAAGTTTGTTTAAAATTAACGAAAAAGATTTATGATGGAAAACATTTTGAATATTGTGGAAAAACTAAATTACGAATACTTCTGTGAGTGTGTATGTATAAATGTATGTATTTGCTATAAGAGAAGGTGAAAATTCTTGATAGGGTTCAAAAGAGGCCATTAGGCTGAAAGGTATGTACATACTACATTTAAAATGACTCTAGCGAGTCATAAAAGGATACTTTAATTCGCTCCACCCTCTGCATGAGCCATTCTGTTGTTTGGGGTGGATGATTTATATTCCAAAATATGCAACTAGGTATGTACATATGTATGTACGTACAAATGTACGATTTTTAACAAAGGTTTTTTTTTTATAAATTCGTCAGCTACAAATGTAACTGTTTGAGCTAGTAATATAGTGTATGTGTGTAACTTTTAGACCGTTAATTAACAGAAAAATATGCTTAAAAAAGTAATCGACGCTTGACCAATAGCCATGGTTCAGCATTATTTTTAAAACTGAATAACTGTAGTAAGTAGCTGCGTGGTTAGAGGAGCGCACTTACACTCGGTAGGGCCGAGGCTCAGCTAAACACCCATTATAGAAAGAAATTTGAATAACCTCGGATGTTCTACTATGGAAAAGCGTCTCATAGACCGCCGTTTGGGAGTGGCGCACAAAGTAAATTCCTCACAAAAATTGCGACCAAACGTTGCAATAACGATATAGAGTGGGGAAATAATAAATTCTGCAACATTTTATTGGAATTCGGTATCTTAGCTTTAGACATAAAATTTTAAATCTAAAAGATAGCCAAAATCGACAAACTGCCACATCCACCAGCCCTAAGAAAATTTTGGATTTTCAGTTATTCAGTGGTGTAGCGGCTTAAAATTTAAGAAAGAATTTCGCCAAATCACCAAATGAAAATGTAATCGCCATTTTTTTAATCTTTTTATAAATCTATTTTATGTGTCAATCGATTTCAAACGTTCATCTTGTTTTTTTTTTTAGATCTCAGTAACGTTTAGTGACTCTTCGCTCTTATTAAGAATTTAGTCGGTGGCGAGTTCACACATCTGCTTCAATGAAGCTATGCCTAAATTAACGCAAGCCTTTGAGAAATCTAATGCGCTTCTTATGAGAGAGCGAGATATATATTCAGTCAGAAGTGCGAATTTTATAGAAATCGTTAAGTTGGGCTCCGAATGCTGCTTCCGTATGACCATATTCCGTGAAAAGTATTATATTCGTTTAAGAGCGCTCCTTGTTCCAGAAATAGTTAAAGTTAATGGTATTAACCAATCTGCTGTTAATAGCTCATCAATGTTTCTCTTACTTGCGAGATCAGGGCTCGGAATCGTAAAATCCTTTCACGATTCGAAAGCCATGCGAAAAAAATTACGTGATACGTCAGTCGTGTGTTTTTACGTGACGAGTAATACGATATCGCGTGCGACAATTCGAGCCCAGGATTATCAGATTTCAAAATAAGTAATAATATTATTTTGGCGCTTACATTTTTTGCTAAGTGTGTGTCCGAGTTTTTACTCCAACTTGTGTAGTGCGTCTTGATGTTGTTACACAAATGGAGGGATATACAATTTTACGTCGCCTCCGAACGGAAAATGGATTTTAAGAGAAGCTTTCCATTGCCTGCCCCAACTTCCCCACTCTAAAGCTATGTAACGGGTGATTTTTTTGAGGTTAGGATTTTCATGCATTAGTATTTGACAGATCACGTGGGATTTCAGACATGGTGTCAAAGAGAAAGATGCTCAGTATGCTTTGACATTTCATCATGAATAGACTTACTAACGAGCAACGCTTGCAAATCATTGAATTTTATTACCAAAATCAGTGTTCGGTTCG